CAGGGCTCTCTAATTCCTTTTCCGTGATTGTAGATCACAATCCCATCAGCATCCCCTATCCCTAAAAACTCAGCATTCCCTGCTTATGTTTGAAGTTCAAAAGGTATATTTTTTTATTTTGACTACAAGCTGTTTTCTTTTGATACTATAAGTCTAGGTTTTTGCAATGAGTATAATAAGCTCTCTCTCTCTCTCTCTCTCTCTCTCTCTCTCTCTCTCTCTCTCTTAGATATGAACTAAACTCACATCTACTTCATTCACCAATGTAAACCTAGCATGTTGCAAGTTTTCAATAAATATTTGTTGTAAAAGAATAATCTCTTTCAAATCCAAAAGATATTAACAGACAAGAATCCAAGGACTTCACTTCATTGCCCTTAAACCACTGTAACTAGGATAAATAATACTAGGATCAGTGGATTCCACGGAGTATCTGCTATTATGCTTTTTCAGTTAACATTTTAAGTGTTATGTTCTTTCCGCACATGTTTTATCTTGATCTTGAAACAATCTGGGAAGGTAGATGTCATTTTTATTTTTCACAAATGAGGACTCTCTGCCTCAAAGATTTGCCTGAAATCACCCTGGTGGGAAATGGTAGAGCCAAAACCAGAATCTGATCGGAAAGTTCCGGGTTCTTTACTGGTACCATGCATATATTGAGTTACTCTCCTGAAGCCAATACGTTCAATTTATGTCCACTTCTTCTTTTTTCCCCATGGCAGTGATTTGTCATATTTTGATAATATCTTGAGTCAGTTTTTTAGTTTTCCACCCTGTTATTTTTTCTCTTTTTTGGGATTCTACTTTCACATATTATTTTCTTAGACAAGTTTCAACCACCTCTATATAAGTATACAATATTAAATTAGTCTTCTCAGTGTTTGAATGAAAGGTCAAACAGTTTCTTTCATTAGTTAGTCAAGTGTGTCTCATAGTATAAAATAAAACAAAATAATGGCATACCCAAAAGACTCTATACACAGGTGATTTATCAATTATGGCATTTGAATTTTAGCTTCAAAAATCTTTTTCTCAGTCTTTTGAAAAGTTAATTATCATGAAACATCATACTTAGTTTTTTTGCCCTCAAGTTTGAATGGTTATCATAAGTGTCAGAAATGAAGCAAATAATCTAGATGACTAAGAAAAAATTTGTTGACAACTACCTCCATATATTTAGTCAATATATATGACTAAAATTACTTTGAAATTATATATGTTATAAAGCGAGTGTATTTGAATATTTTTATTTGGGCAACTGAATACTAAATTGTATATGATCCTATATAATAAAAGGGTAATATGCAAATAGACCAAATGGCAGAACGACTGGTCACTATGACATGCACTGCCACCAGGGGGCAGAGGCTCAATGCAGGAGCTGCCACCTGGTGGTCAGTGCACTCCTCCATGGCAACGCTAAGGATGTCCGACTGCCAGCTTAGACATCCCCCCAGCAGTCAGACATCCCGTGAGGGCTCCCAGACTGCAAAAGGTGTAGATCAGAATGAACCCCTGCCCCCGAGTGCACAAATTTTGTGCACCGGGCCTCTAGTTGATTCATAAAATTGTTTTAAAAAATGAAAACCTGTTCTTTTTCTTGTGCTCTCTCAAATATAGCTTCTTGGTCAAAGCTTACAATAAATTACTTTTTAAAACAGCTGATATGTCAAACACTTTGCAACTCTTTTAGAAATCTGATTATACATAGATTTTTCCCAACATTAAAAAAAAGTTAAATCAAGCTTAAGAGATTTTAAGCGACTTGTCAAGATGCCATATAGCCTCGCAGAGAATGAAGCGCAGGAACCATAACTATAGCTTCAGTTACAGCAATGAGACAGGTTTCCATAGTTCAGGAATATAAAAATCAATATACTGTCCCTCCTTTGTGCTCTTAACAGAAACTAACAAGGAAATAAGCTCTTGTCTCTGCTGAGATAAGAAATAATAGGTCCTAATTTGGTAAGTCTCAAAATAGATGACTTTGATGATTTATTTTAGAAACCAGCATAAGACACCAAAATTCTTACACACAGAACCATATATGATTAGTTTTGAAAAGGCTCCTCAAAAGACAAAGGGAGAAAATCCATAAGTGTAAATGGTTTATATATGTTGACATCAATTATCTCGAACTTAATATTAAGAAGATGAAAACTTCACTACACTGTAACTACTTTGAAAAATGAAGACATGAAATCTCATAATTGAGGCCCTTCGAGTTCATTATAACAACAAAATATAGTGTTTAGAATATTTTTCCACTGGCTAGAATAATCCAGATTATCTATTGAACTAGGATGAAATGAATCATTTATATATTTGAACACATAACACCTCTTTCTGACTCAATAATACATATGGTATGAACAATATAGGTACTTTCCTATTAGAACTTCCTCCTTTAAAAGTCCTAAGAAAAAGCCAGTGAAACAACTATTGAGTTATTTCAGTTCAAATCTTGGACATATTGCATGTGAAAAGTTAAGCAATCATAAACGATCTACTACTGCCCTATATTTCCTAGATGAAGGAACTCTCCAGGGGTTAAGGACTCTTGACACATAAAATCATGTCTCCAGACTGCCAGGACCCATCTCTGTCCACTGCAACACACAGCTTTTTAACAACTCCCAACTTTTTAAATTATGAGCAGCTAGAAGAGAATTCTGGGTCCAATTATGATGATCATCACGCAAGTATTATCAAACACCAAATTACTGTTTAAAGCAACACAACTCTTTATGCCCTTAAGTAAGCAGTTGCCTGTTAGGTTGTAAGGAAAACTTGCACTTCTAATGATAAAGGAGCACACAGGTTGTTATTTCAAAAAACCACTGGCTAAACCTGCTTTTATTTATGAGAACACAGATTCGTTTGTAATATTGTGAAGATGCATGAGAGCCCTGATACTTATTTTATAAAAATCTTTTCTGTAATTTTTCCATTATATATATTTTTTTTTCAAAGAAATAAGCCCTTATGACAAAACTTACATATAAGGAATAATTAATCAAGTATGTTTGTGTCCATGCAACATATTTAAGTTTCTAAAGAAAAAGTATTTAAAAACTTTAAAAAAAGAAGCATTGAGTGTCAAACATTTTCTGGCATGTCTAGTATTACTTAGAATAATTCAATCCATTCTCTATTTTCAGAGAGAAAATATAGTTGTTCTATCTGCTGGTATTGACAAAACTATTCACTGTTGGCATATACTAAAATTAATCATAATAATAATTCATTTTAGCAATGATGCAAGTAGTTATAAAGGCATGTTTTCATCTGCACAGCAATTGTGTTTTACCCGTGGGAAGATTTACATTCAATAATACAATTTTAAATGTAGATTTATATAAAACAAAGTCACACAATATACTCATACTTGGACTACTCAGTATGTCTAAGATCTTTATAGCATCTGTGCCCTAATCTATATATTTTAACTTTGTTCATCAACTACTCCTATAGCTAGATACAATACCTGAGCAGTTTGGTATTTTTTTTTAATGATTTAAAAGTTTTATTGAAAGGTATCACAACCCAAGCAGACCTATTAAATTGGAGGCTTGGGGTTGATATTCTCAGTCTCTCTCTGTCTTTCTCACAACACACACACACACACACACAGCCAGAACATCACTTATAGCACCATACAATTTTTATTCTCATGTAGACAGCCAATTAAAATAAAAACCTTTGAAATCTGGCTTAATAAAATATATTTATTTCTAACATAAATATAACACATGAACCTGGTAGATTTTAGCCATATTTATAATTTACTTTGATGTAAAACCCTCCCCCCCCTCCAGCATAGCAAAAAAGGGGGAGGGGTAAGGAAAACCAAAACATTTGTATATAGAAAAGCATCATACATACCAGGCTATGAAACTTGTTAGTTTCTAAAATAACCATTCCTATAAAATGCGGAATCATTAGAAAGTTCATCAGTGTCATTCATTCACTAAATTTAGTAGGAAACCCGTTTCTACCTCTCCTTCCCCCTCCCAGTAACTGAGTCTTGACTAGTTTTGACCACGTTTCCAAACGAAAACAGCTGGAGTAACCTCCATGCTCCCCACAGAGGTTCATTTCCTTCTGTCTGGAAATGGGGAGACCTCCTCAGAAAAGAAAAGGATGGGGAAATACTGCACAGGTATGGGGGGAAATAAATGCAAATGACTTAGAATGGTTTTGGGGGAAGAAAAGAAAAAGGCAGCGGGAAGCGGGTAGGCACGGAAGAATAGTTCTCAGTCCTTGCATTGACTCACCAGCTTCCCAAATGCAGGGTCAGCAACAAGAACATCAGCCTCACGCCTCTACTTGGACTCCACAGAAGAAGAGGGGAGAAGAGAAAAGCTCTCCAAGAACCCATCAGAATCGCTTTTTCGTTTCCGCTGAATTCTTCACGCCAGGACTTTTCCTCCCACCTCAGCTGCCGCCCGGGGAAGGAGCACGAGAAGGGAAAGTGTGGGAAGGCGATACACCTCCTGACCAGGTAGGATGCGACTCCCGGCGGAATGGAGCCGGGAGCCAATCGGAACGGGAGGATGCTGGCATAAATTATCTGCCAACCGTTTGGGCCAATCAGCGACCCCGAGAGGCGGGCCTCCTCCTACTAGAAATCGAGCCCAGTGGGGAAAAGGGCTCCGTCTTTCTCAAAGAAAAACAAACCTCTTCTCTCTCCCTCGCAGCCCCGGGGAGCGGCGGAGTGGCCAGGACCGCTTTCCTCCCGAGGGAAGGAGGCGCCCCGCTCGCCCCGGGCCTGACTCTTCGGGCGCCGCCGCCTCCTTCCGCTCCCGCGTCTGGATTCGGAATCTGCCTTCCGAGACCCGTGGGAAGATTGCAGCCCCCTAATTGGTTTTCCCCGGGCTCGCGCAGGTTCTGCTAATTTTTGTTAATTATCCTTCATTTGGAGTGTAGGAGGGCGTCTCATTTCTCGAAGCAGCCCCAGCACCTGGCACAATGCCCGGCACCGACGAGTCCCTAAAATTCCGAATGAATGAATGGGCGTGCTCCGTGCATTCCTGGCAAACGCGTTTCCTAACTCCCTTTTCTCCGTCTTTACGAGTGAGATGATTTGCATTCTCCTCTCCCCGGGCACCAGGAGATGGTACTAATGAATAATGCCAGGCACGAACTCTCTCATTTTATAAAAAACGTAAACAAAAATCCGGTGTGGAAAAGGTCCTCTGAGCCGTAGGAGGGAGTTACAGACCTGGTACACGGGTAACGTTGTTCTCCTCGCCCTCCCCAGTTGCCTTTGCATTTGTTGAGCTCCAGTGTTTGGTACCCAACTTCAGAGGCTCTGCTTTGAGTTTGCAGCAGAGCTCAACAGTTGCCAGGGCAACCAGAAAGCCTCTGGCAGCTTGAACAACTGTACAGGCGAAGACAGTGATGGTGGTGGAAGCAGGCTCGCTGCCCAGCCGTTTCTGCTTTTCTGCCTTCCTAAATCCCCGCTTCCCACCCAGGACGCTCGGGGTTGCGTCTTTGATGGTCTCGTTAATCACCACGTGGAATTGGCCAGATTCGGGGTGAACTACAATTTACCACATAGTTACCCATGAGCATTTGTCTCCCCGCAAACAGTTCAAGGCAGAAGTAACAGCGTCTACCCAACCTTCTGAAATCACTTCACTGGGTTTGGCGGTAGCAACGTTACAGATTATTTTCTTGCCCAGGATAACAGATGGTGCAATGCTGGGCTTCTCCCTCTCTGTGATTGATTCTCCATCTTTTCATTCTCCTCTGAAAATAGGTATTGACCCCCTGTGATTCTTCTAAACGTTAATTAGGCAGCATTATTCTCTTCCACAAAGCACGTTAGTCAAGGCAGCTAATACTAAATAATCTATATAACAATAAAGTTCCATTATTGATTTCGAGGTGAATGAATTAGTTAAAGGCGGTGCCAATATAAATTTGTATTGTCTTCTTTCTATTTTTCCTGCCTCCATTAAGAATGTGCTTTGGATAGCTAGTGCAACTGTTGTATTGGATGCGCACACTAATTCACTTGATCTGATTAGCCTGGTGAACTAGGAATTAATTCACTAGAAGTATGTAGTGAATAACAAATACTTATTTCATTATTCTTTGTGTTTCGATAAGATTTTTGCATATATTAATGGGAATATGATATTGCATAGTGTTACACAATAGTAATAATGGTTCCTCCATCAAAAATATGTACTAAGATTTTACCCTGATTATTTTTATATGTAACTGAAAGATACTGAGAACAGTTAAGAGATGTTAATGGAGAGGAAAAGTGAAGGGTATACCCCCTTGGGTAGTTACATGTTGCCTGCTTATTCTTATAAATGATAAAGAACTAGAGTAATTTTCAAGGTGGGAAATTTCCTGTATTTTTCAAAATCTAGTTTTTGGCCAATTTTGTGCTGAACTTTTTAAGGTTTATTTCATCCCTTTCTTTCAAGCACTTTTCTCTGACTCTTTATTTCTATGTCTCATCTTTGATTTTTCTTTTCTTTTTTACAATATATGTCCCCTGGGAAGCTGATCTCATTCCACTGTCACAGTTAGTTACAATTCCCTGTAAACGGTGTGAAAGGAACCTGAGCCCTCAAGAACCTGAAGAAGGAATGATGATTTGGGGTCTTAGTCAGGTGCCTTAAACCTGACAGTCTGTCTCATTCAATGTAATAAGCCAGCTGTGTGGGGGTGGAGGGAGAAGGGTGACATATATTATGAGTCCTGAAGAAAGCTAAGAAGGTACATTTACTCAACAAACAAACCATAGTCTCCCATAGAGGGAACACTCACCGGGAGACATCAGGTGTCCTACACGATTCTAGATTAGAAGCCAATGGTTGCTTATAAATACGGAACTGGAGAAAATTCTCTCTTCCATTGTGGTAGTGGATTCCAACGACAGGTAATTTGACAACATTTCTCAATGTCAAAGATATGTTCAGTTGTCACATCTTGGGAGGTGGGCTAATCTACTGGCACCTAGAGGATAGAGTCCAGAGCTCCTGCTGCACAATCACAAATGCAAAAGCAATTGGTCACACAACAAAGTATTGTAAGGTTCAAACTTTCAACAGTAGCAAGGTTGAGAAGCCTTGCAATACGGATGGGTGGCTAGATTTCATTGCAGCTGAAGATTTCCTCACATTGTCACGGAAGTCACCATTGCCCTTCTCCTTCCTTTGAAAGACTGAGCCATAACCATTATCCACTAGTTTTATATCTAGCTGTAATTATTATCAAATCATAGTGAACAGTAATACTCATTTTTGTAAAATTTGTACAGGTATCACCTTAAAACGAAATGCTTGGGATACCTATTAAAAATGCAAAGTAATGAAATTATCTCCAGATCTAGACAATTATAATTCTTAGTAATTATAATTTTGGGGATTAGCATGCCTCAGGAAGTTTAAGAAATATTGTCCTATAAATGTCTTACTACGTGATGAGTGAGACAGTGACCTGATTCTGAACGTGCTATCCTGGCCCTGGCAAAGTTGGATTTTGGCATGATTCATCAGGCCATTGTTAATTTATTCATTCAAAATATTAATTAAAAACCACTGTGCCTGATAATGGAAATACAATGGTGAACAATATTTATTTCATTGTGCCCCAGTTTCTTCATGTGTAAGAGGGAGATGAAAATTCTGCTTAGTTCTAGAGTTGTTTTAAGGATTAACTGGATTAATACAAGGGGATCACTTAAAACAGTACATGTATAAAAGAAATTACTCAAAAAGGTTAGTTGCCATTGTTATTAACTCATTGAGAGTAGGTTTAAAATCTATGCCAAAACTGGTTTGGCTGGGTGGATAGAGCGTTGGCTTGTGGACTGAAAGGTCCCAGGTTCGATTCCGGTCAAGGGCATGTACCTGGGTTGCGGGCACATCCCCAATAGGAGATGGGCAGGAGGCAGTTGATCGATGTTTCTCTCTCATCGATGTTTCTAACTCTCTATCTCTCTCCCTTACTCTCTGTAAAAAAATCAATAAAATATATTTAAAAAAATAAAATCTAATTTATTCACTCTAATCTTTAGTACAATATCTGGAACCGAATATTAACTTCTAGAATGCATAGTCTAATAGGGAAGATGGAGTGGTTCAGGAGACACTGGTGTTCTCATCCACCTCAACATTATCCTGATAATGTTGACCTGAACAAGAAGACATTTTGAGTCGTGTTCCAGTTCTCCCAGTGCACTTCTCTTCTTTTTTTAAATATGTTTTTATCGAATTTTAGAGAGAGAAGGGAGAGTGATAGAGATAGAAACATCAATGAGAGAGAAACATCATCGATCAGCTGCCTCCTGCACACCCACTACTGGGAATCAAGCCTGCAACCCGGGCATGTGCACCCACCGCGAATTGAACCAATGACCTCTTGGTTCAGGGATCGATATTCAAACACTGAGCAACAGTGGCTGAGCAGCACTTTTTTTCTTATGGCCACAAGCTATATACTTCAGTCAAAACGACAACTGCAGGTTTCCAAACAGATCACTCACTGTCATATTTTATTTGTCTTGTCATGCTACTGCCTCAGCATAGGAGGCCCTTACCTCTTCTTCATCTGTTTAGAGTCTCTTCATTCTTCATTCTTCCTGATTAAGTTTAAGGGTCACTTTATTTTTTTCCTCTATTGATTGTTCACTGCATGCTAGCCTGTGGTATAGGTCTGTCTATTAATAATAAGTGATATTTATTGTGTTCACTATGTGTCACCAGCCATTATTCTTAATGGTTTCAAATTATAGGTACATGTAGTTCTCTTTTCACTTAAAACTACCACTTCATATTTATATCATAGAACATATTTTTTGAAACTATCTGTATTTCTTCTCAAACTGTTATGTGTTTTTAAATTTTATACCTTTAAGATTTATAGTGCTTATTAGACTTGGTATTATATTATGTATATGTTCAATGTTATTGTAGTATATTTATATTTAATATTATGTGTATATTTGATCAATACCTTGCTCTCTCTCTAGAACATACCACCATGAAGGCAGGGATTTTATTTATGTTCATCACCACTTCTGTTCAAAGCAGAGGCTAGCAGGTAATAATCCCTTCATTAATATCTGTAGAATGAATAAGTATTCAATGTATAATTGAATATATAACACATGGATGTATTTAATTACTGTATATATTTCTGTAGCCATTAAGGGATCTCTTTTACTAGCGTTGGTCTCAAGGGCTCATATCTAAATAGACAAAAGTCAAATCTTGTTGCTTGATTTATTCCTTCCCAACAGAACATAGGAATCAATTATTTTTCCAATTTACAGGTTGCCGTGATCAAAACTTTAAAAACCCAGGCACCTTAGTTTATGCAATCAAATTATTATTTAATGTAAACAGAAGAAAGGGCCAGCACAGAGAGATTTCCATACTGAAGGCACACCCCTTTCTTTGTTCATCTATTCAGTCTCAGTCTTGTACTTGACCCCTAGGGTGCAGCCAAGAAAGGGAGTCCAGAAGCTGGTCCTTGGTGGCAGGTGGCAATGT